TTGAATTTAACTCACCTTATGCTGTAGGAACCCTGAGAAGATTCTGGGACGTCGTCATATGCTGACTAAATCAGCAAGGAGTGACAGGGCTCTGCAATAACAGGCAGCATTGAACATTTTTGCTATCCGTCTTTTCTGTGCAGATTAGAAAAAAAATCAATGAGTTGTTGATTATTAATTCAACCCTGAAAAAAGTATTAAGGATGAAAAAAGGCACGAAATCCCTAAAAGTTTCAGATTTCTTCATAAGGCCTAAACTGTGGCTCTGTATTGCTGGTGATGTTTCTCCTGATCTCTGGGTTTAATCCTCTGCATTGTTCTTTCTAAACAGACCAAATCTGCCGCCAGATGAGTAAAAAAGTAATTTTAAACACCAAGTCTAACATTTTGAACTCGTTGGTATCCTTACCGTCTCCAGCCTGTAATCTTGAGTGGCAGACCGCTGTAGGGTGCTTTGGGGTTCCAAAGAAGCAATCCACTGGACTTTGTTTCCAGGTTTGAGGACATTTCGCTTCCTATGCAGGAAGCTTTTTCAATTTAAAATGTCAGAAATAGCTTTGAGTTTGAGTTTTTATAGAGTGGACCAAAACAAAGTCTTGTTTTGGCTTTGAAAACATGCAAATTACATTGCTACTCAACGCTATTTCTGACATTTTGAATTATAAAAGCTTCCTGGATGGAAAGCAAAACGTCTTTAAACTTAAAGTCCGGTGGATTGTTTTTTTTTTTTGTTTTGTTTTTTGGAATGACTATGACCTGGATGACTGAGAATCTTCACCAGCATGTTGTTTTGGGATTTTTTTACGCTATACTATGACTTTTTGTTAATTTTTGGTGCTTCGATCTGACCCTGCCAGGACCAAGATCGAGAAGGAGAAGAAGGAACACGCCCGGCAGCACGGGATGATCCGGACGGAAATCAGCGGGGCTGAAATAGCAGAGGAGATGGAGAAGGAGAGAAGGTTCTTCCAGCTTCAGATGTGTGAGGTCAGAACCAGAACAGAGGACTGTTTGTTTGAAAAGCAGAGAAAATGATGCCTTTTTGGTCCCTTTACTCTGTAAAGGAGGGGCTTTCTTTCAAGCGTCTCTGTTAGATGAAAGCGATCTTAAACACACAGCTCTGCCTTTTCCTCCTCTGACCCTCCTACCCCTGATCTGCTTTCCATCTGTTTACAGTATCTCCTCAAAGTCAATGAGATCAAAATCAAGAAGGGGGTGGACCTGCTGCAGAACCTCATCAAGTACTTCCACGCACAGTGCAAGTAAGGCTCCGCTAACCGGCCCCGTGAAACCAGACCTTTCCTGTACCGTTTATCTACTCTTCAATGCAGGTTGTGCTTTTTAGTTTCTTTCAGGATGGCCTGAAAGCCGTGGAGAACCTGAAACCGTCCATAGAGAAGCTGGCTACAGATCTGCACACCGTAAGAGAACAGCACACGTTCGTGACCACTGCTTCTTCTGATACGTTTTTCACTTTGCTTCTCTTTCTCCTCCTTTGTCAGATCAAGCAGGCGCAGGATGAGGAGAGGAAGCAGTTAACTCAGCTGAGAGATGTTCTAAAAACGGCTCTACAGGTGGAGCAGAAGGAGGTAAAACACACATTTAGCCAGGTGGTCAGTGTTTGAAGTGTGGTCAGTGTGTTTTCTGTAGATTTCTATATCCTGCTTCAAGCAGTTTCCTCCAGAAGTGACCCAAGTAGCTTTAAAACACCTCCCAGAGTTCTGTTCATCTATAAATTTAATGAGAAAATACCTACTAAAGACCTGCCAACACATGGAGGTCCAACTAAAGTGACAGGCTGCATGAGGGGAGCATTAATCAGAGAAGCAGCCATAAGCTCCATGGTGACTCTTGAGGAGCTGCAGAGGTCTCTTTATTCTTCTCCTTAAACCCGACTGGAGAAGACAGAAGATTCAAACTTTTCAACCTGCATGCAAGTACAATGGGGAGCACACCATGCCTGTGGTGATGCATGGTGGTGGCAGCATCATGCTGTGAGAATTACAGTAATAATTAAAACAACCACATATCAACATATGTGGGCATAATTATTGTCTGGAATAGGAACATCCAGCCAGAGATGAAACCGACTGTTTTGTGTCCAAACTTTTTACCAAAAAGTCTGTTTTTAAAGTAATTATTTTAATCAAATTCAACAAATTTTGATTAAATTCTTTAAAATTTAAAGGCACACTATGCAACATTTTTCAGTTAATGTGTTCCATACCGTTTTGGATTATTAAATGAGTCATTTCAGGTCGAACAAAGGTTTTCTCGGCCGCCCTGGTGGTCTGTAGGGGAAATACCGTACTTGCAATTGCAGGAGCCCTCGGCCCGAACCCACAGGCTCAGAAGTCTCGCGCATCGCGAGAGTCGGTCTTGCTTTACGGCGAGAACTGCTACACGCCCCCAGTGAAAGGCGTGCTCGTTGCTAGCGCAGTGGCGATATTTGTGCAGTTATCATGGCGGAACCAGTAAGAATTTCCAAACTCGAAAATTGGAACAAAATAGTCACTTACCGCAGTAGACATGGTGATTCGTTGGCGTTCCTGGCTTGACGGAGAAACCAGGAGAACAGCTGAGCATATTTACAACAGCGCACTTTTACTTTCGCCCTCTGGGGGGAGCCTCGCTGGAAAATCAACACTGGTTGCATAGTATACCTTTAAATGGTAAAAACTGCCCACTCAGAAAAGAACTCAACAAAGCAGTCGGACCCTAACCCTTTCTATAGAAATGGCCATCATAGATCTAAATCCGAAACGGTTTTGCAGGTTTAAAAAAACAAACAAGAAAATGTCAAGCAGTGAAAAGATTAAAATTTTAAATCTTTTCTGTTTCATAAACACAATCCTGCATCGACCTGGGCTGGTAAACTATATTTAAGATTCTAGATTTCTGATGAAACGGCTGCACAAAATCATCCCTAAAGCCGCTAAAGGCCCCTTGGTCACAGTTTATACATCGCTGGCTGAGTTAGCGTGGCCTAATCAAAGAAAAAAAAAAGAAGCTGCTTTGAATATAAGGGGAGATTTTAAAGCTGATGTTCATTGATGCCTTCATCCCGTCTCACTGAGTGTCAAGTGATTCAATCTTTGCTGAGCTGAATATTAAACTGGGTTCCACTCAATGACCAAACTGTTGTTTCATCTTTTCCTTTTTTATTTTTCTTCTTGTGTTCTTTACAGATAATCAATAATTAAGCAGTTGAAAAACCTTAAAAAAAAAGAAACCAAACAAAGCATTTACCATATTGCACATTGTAATAGTCAGTTCTGAGAAATGTTTCATTAAATATATCTAAGAAAATAGACAATGTTTTTCACTTTAAGTTAAGACCATTTAGTTTTTAATTATCATGAAAAAATGCATTAAAAAAAATTAAAGCATTTTAAAAACGGAAGTGGATTTATGCAGGTTATTTAACCCCATAGATTACATGAATTCCTAAATAGCAATAGTAAATAAACAGTAAGTGATTTTTAGTTCATTTAAATATGCATAACGCAGGTTATAAAATTTCATTTTAACTGTGGAATACCAAAAGTCCATTTTAATCACTCACAGAAGAAAGCTGCACAAATCACCCCGTGCAACAGTGTCACAAACACATTAAGTTGGACCGTTTCAACGTCAAAACAAATCACTGAAAATAAGTTACACCTGCATTTCTCCGACTAAATAAAGCAAGCTTCAAGAAGCATTACAAGCCAGCATTTTCATAATGCACCGTGTGAGTATTTATAAGCTTAACTCTACAGACAAACATTTCCCGCACGTCTCAATGCCTCATCAGCACAGCACATACATTTTATTCATGACAGGATTAAACGCAAGCTTACCGGCTGTCTGTTCAGTCCTTCGCTTCCTTAGTACAAACTTTGCACAGCTCCTTCCGCTGCCCGAGTAGAAAGGCAGGCTTTTTATTTCATGCTGCGATCCTCCTGCTCAAACTACGAAGTTTTTCTCACCTTCTTTTGATTGATTGATTTATTGATTGATTGCACCAGGCGCCACGCTCAAACAGCTGATGTAAACAAAGGGGGCGTTCGCCGCAACACTCAGCTTGAACCAACATTTTCTAGAAACATCTGGTAGAGCAACCACCAGATTCTCAGCTGTTAGCTTAGATTATTCAGCCGTTTTATTTGTAAAAACTATTTTTCCTCCATCTTCAGATAGTTTGTTTCTTAAAATCCCAGTGAAACACGACAATGTTTTGCGACTGGAAAGTACAGAGAGTGAAAACGTTTGTGTAGGTGTCTGAATTTATAAATGTGAATCAATAAACATGAATAAATTGAAGATTGTTTTTGTTTCTTGTTGTGAACTTTGTCATACAGGTGAAATTAGATCTTTCTTAGCAGTTATGAATGGAAGTTACAACTTGATAAAGCTAACTTTACAAATCACAAGTGTACAAGTAAAGACCCTGTCACACGATGATTTAGCCAGTGTATGCCATACGTGGGCCTTAAGTTACAGCTAAGTTATCTGATCGTTAACATAAGTCTAAGTTACTTCTAAGCCGTGGCTTCTAGCTTATCCAAAACCTATGAGTAACTTTTGCATAACTTATCAAGAACTTATCTCCAAAGCATATCAACGTATCTGATGTGTTCCAGTCTGTATTTTTTTGTAAACTTGTAGCTTGTATTCTCACACAAAAAATATTTGATGTCATATGTATAACATGATAACTAGGAACAAATACAGAACTTGAATTCATTCACTTCTTTTTTATTTTTTTATTTTAACAATGTCCTGTCTGGCGATGTGGCAATAAGAATAATTGTCTTGATGCCAAAAAGAGCCCAACAGATTTTACTTTCACAAGTGGAGCAGTACGGCTATCGCCATAGTGTTCCGCTTGTTTCATGCATATAAATAGCTTTATTATAATTATGCAGGGAGTTTTACAGATTATATGGACACTGCAATGTAAGTAGAACAGAAGAGGAAAAACAGAAAAAAAGGATAAAAGATAATTTATGGATTTATTTATTTACAGGTGCTGGTCATAAAATTAGAATATCATGAAAAAGTAGATTGATTTCAGTAATTCCATTTAAAAAGTGAAACTTGTATA